CTCGGGGTCGAATTTATAACTTGTGTTGGGGAAGGCCGTGGTCTAGGCACCACGGAGTTTTCCTCCGGGGGCTTCTTCCCCGGTTTCTCCGTGGCATCCCAACAATTACTGCATTCACACACAGAAGAAGGCAATGGCAAACCACTTCTGGATCATCTGCCAAGAACGTATATGAACAGGTCCCAGTCCGAGAAAAGGATGGAAGGATCCTGTTCATATGGACCTGTCGTCAGACAGAACACTAAATAATAATATAATAAATAAAAGTTGAAAATGATTCGGCTGATCAGGATATTGTTATGGAACCTGAACTTTCAGCAACATCACAGACGTTAGTTTCAATTGAGTTTAAATGTGCCCAACATAATTTCAAAGAATTCAGCGTAATAATTTTCTCACGTAGATCCCTTGAGGTTCTCCAAGGCATTTTTTTTAAAAGTAGTTTCCATGGTGCATTGCGTAGTGCCTCGCTAAGGAAAAATGACATATTAAACTGTAATCTGAACACTGAGTGCCAGATGTGTATTCATTGTTTATTTCGTGAGGCGATTTGCATGGTCGTTCCTGAACGCTTACCAGACACACGTCCTCCACGTGTTTATTACCCAACGACATTTTGACCCACGAAAGACCATAAATAACAAATGGAATTTATAAGATGTCGAGAATGAATCATTTGGAGGAAAATAAAAATATTGCTATCGTTTTCTTATATTTTTTCTCCTGAAAATTGTTTTCGATCTGCCGCGGCGCTGAACGCATAGCAACTGAATGTCTTGTGACCTTGAGCAAAATCTAAAGTTTCTGCAAGAGGGAACACTTGACTGTTTCAGCCTGTGACTTACGAGGTGCAATCGGAAAGTTTCAAGACTGTGTCAATAGAGGGCGAACCGGATGTAGTACGAGCTTCTGCCTTTACGGGGTGCGGCCTACATTCATAGTGAATCAGTGTGCCAGCCGGCATCATCGAATTAGCATTTGTTTCTTAGTTACGGGCGTTTTGGTAGTGCATTACACCGACCCTCCTGCGATTTTGGAATGGCGTGTGCATCAAATTTTGCCAAAGACTCGCCAAAACGGCTACGGAAACCTATGAAATGCTAAAGTAAGCATTTGGGGAGTCCGCAATGGGTCGTGCACAAACTTTTGTGTGGCATTCACGTTTTAAAAATGGCCGAACCTCTGTCGATGATGACGAGCGTTCTGGACGACCATCTTCGAGCACAACGCCCGAAAATGTTACGAAGATTCGGCAGGCCATTCACGAAGATCGACGTCGTACCATCAACGACTTGTGCGACATTGTTGGGATAGGCTATGGGACCTGTCAGCTGATTCTAAAGGAAGAACTCCACATGCGACGCATCCTGTCAGAAAGATTTCCAGGGATGCTTTCAGGCTTGGCAGCGGCGCTGGGATCGTTGTGTTCACTCCCCGGGGAACTACTTCGAGGGGGATGGATGAATTTAATACCTGAGATAAGTGTACGGGTTTTTATACGCGCAGTCTGGAAACCTTCCGATCGCACCTCGTATATACACGCACAAACGTACAGACAAATGGACATGGCAATAACGTATATTTCTGTTATATATAGTATAGTTAAGTGGGCGAAAATTATATCTTCATTTGTCATAATCTGATTTTATTAACACATTTCCTCCGAACCGTATTTAATATTTCCATAACTCAATGGGAATTATGTATGTGGGATTTCGCATGAAATTATTCTCTAAAGTTTTGCAACAATAGAGATTCATTAAAGGAATATCATGTTGGACATTGCGCATTGCCTGAGGTATATTTGTTATACATGACGTTTCGGGTGTCGGCTCTGCTCCCTTCTTCAGGTGATACATTTTTTCTTTTTAATATTATTAATGGCAATGGTCGGGATCGAACTCGGGACCGTTTGTGCTGACAATTACAACACTGGAGTGGCCCGTAAGTTATTGAAACCCTGTTCATGTTTTACATTGTTACTTCATATCCCGTAGTTGGTGGGGGGGGGGAGCAATGTGGATGACATTAGGAAGACATAACGAAACGTAAATACCGTTCCTCAGTTGTACTTCTGAGTGAGAACATAGGATTGAAAACAAATCAAAAATGTAAGTCGGACTTGGGACTCTGGGACCATGGGTTCTAATCCCACGCAATGCATTGATGTCTTTCTGCGTTGTGCTGTCCTGTGTAGGTAGACGCCTTTCTACTAGTCGATAATTCGTCCGAGTCTTACCAAATATCTAAACAGAGTAAGAAACATCCCATATGTGAGGAGGCCAAGGTCATTCAAGGACTGTAGAACCAAACAAAGAAGTACTGTTGTCATGTGGTCGATATTAATATTACAATTTTTAGTCTCGTCCACTTAAATTCGTTTCAAGTACATATTAGTGATGGATGTAAATGAGTTTTTGTGTCGCTTGGTACATTTTATTAAATTCGATATAATGATTTTCCACGTATTGCATACACCTAGGCAGTAGACGGGCCTCATGAATAAACGGAACGCATCTCCTTAATGCTACTCCAAGAATTAATTTTAACCTTGTTTTGCTCAGATTCACTTGAACAATGTTACCTTCTACGTCTGCGCAGTCAAAACAAATCGCTTCGAGTCTTTGTTTCGTTACAGCGGCGTTTTACTTTGAAAAATCAAGGACACACGTGAAATAGTTTTCACACACTCGGGACGCAGTGTTTCCGGCGTACAATTGTTTCAGACGAGAGTACGAAGATTGTGGATCTGCGCATGGCAAATGTGCAGTCGGACAAGGGCAAAACATAAGGCACCATCGGACCAATGCAGTTCTATCTTTCTCAGCACAGCAATACGTCGCTCATTCGTCGTCATATTTAAATCCCAGTATAGCAGTTTATATTTAAGACAGCGAATCACTTTATGCAGACAGTTCGGTCATTAGTCTAAAGTGACTGAGGTAAATCTCTGTTGTGAAATTTAATACGAAAGATAAATTTTATCAGTGAAACGTGATCCGGGGCAAAATCCGATTCTCAGAGAGAGTGAAGAGCAAGCCGTGAGCTTGCACTTTGGCATTTCTTGTTGTGCTGCAGGCAGCATTCCTAAACAGGTCAAGGGTCGGTCACACGTCTTACAACACAATTAATCCCTGCCACTGAGATGACATCAACAACCGAAAATGGCGGCGTAGTGGTTAGCAGGCTATTTCGTATTTGGTAGGTCCCTGCTTTAATTCTTGGCCCGGAGACAGGATATTCTGACAGGCGTTTCGTGGATTATCTCGATCCCTCCATGAAAATGCTGGGATAATACGTCAAAAGGAGCCATGACCACTTTCTTGCACAACCTTTACGAATCATACTGCCGCCAGTGAACCATGAAAACAAATATACACAATTGGAAGCCGTGTGAACAACTCGAGGATATTGATAACCGATCGACTAAAAACACCAGATTGGTCGAGTAAAATAAAGTAACAAATGTCATGGTTTTTGGATACTCCATATGATGCTACGGATACAAGAGACCATGGTACACATTAAATTTACATTGAGTTAGATTTATTAGGATGTAGAACACTTCCTAATTAACGTCATTGCTACTTGACCCAGTTACCATGCCCTTGAAAGAAGATGAATTTGAACTGATAATTGCAGTGAGGTATTTGACTTGAGTACTCAGCATTGGATGAAATATGGTAGGAAACTTGTGAATGAAGAATCAGAATTGTTGAAGGAAGCAATTTTAGTCTGTTTCCATTTACTGTAGCAATTTTTTTTAAGAACTGAGTAAAACTATGAAAATATGCAGCCAGAATAGCCACTCTCAGACCTGGATTCAAACTGGTTACCTTCTGAACTCTAATCAGACCCATAATCTCATTGCCACTTATCCCCTGGCTTACAAATAATGGACTAGTCATATTAATAACATTATTTTATACACAACTGAAAAGTAAATAAATATTTGTTGATACTGTCCTTCATGAGTCACGTCCAGAAATTTCTGAATGATTACAAAACTGATAATTATACTGTACAAGAGTAAATGTAGGTACATAAACACAGTTTTAGTTAGTTTAAAAATCATGCCCCTTTTGACTGTATCCACATTTAAGTCATCCTCGAGACAGACAAATAGCATTTTGGTGTGACCAGTGCCAAAACACTGAGAGTTAGCAGGATGATTACCACATACGTGAGATGATTGCATAATAATGGGTATGTCCATCCTTTGTGAAAGTGATATTTTATGTTAAGCTGTTTTCCTACTGAACATAATAATAATAATAATAATAATAATAATCCGTGGCGTAGCAGCCCTATGAGAGCTAAAGCTGACTAGCTGGCTGCTGGCCTCACGTTCACATGCCTAAGCAGAGGTGAACGATCATCCAACCAGATATAGGATGACGTGTGGTCAGCACGACGAATCCCGCAGCCACTTGCAGAACAAAAATATCAAAAACAGAAATCTACCTTCGTTCTGCTCCTACATCAGGAGTCTTTCATTCTTACCAGATGAGCAAAGGCTAGGAAGGTTGAAATGCATTAGAAGGAAAAAGATTGTGTTCCTCCCCTGTACCAGTCTAATGCATAAACATCCCGTATCAGAATAAAAAGTAATGGGAACAAAGCATTAGCCAACTATTCTTGATTTTGTCCTCCTGGGTTGTGTAGTCTTCTGGGCTGTTACCAACATTTCAGAAGGACATACAGCTTCCATCTTCAGAGCTGAAGGTGAATTGTAAGAACCTTAAATCTCAGATAGAAAACATTTGAGAGAAATTAAGCATCTTCTCATGATGATCTTGTGCAGTTTCATTAATCAAACAAATCATGTACAAAAGCTTCCTAGAGGCCTGTAGTTGAAAGTGCTGATACACGCATCTTACTCCCTGGACCAACGTTGATACAACTAGATTCAATTACATCAAAGTGATTGAACTCCACTTTTTGTAAGAAGAGTCACACTTAAAATCTTATTTAACAAAAAAAAAATTGTTTATTTTAGAAAAAGAATTAACTATACAGCTTTGCAGTAACAAGTTTACTTTGTTATTAAAAAAACTATGAGAACACTGACAATCATAACAGAACATACAAAGGTTTTTTTGTTTGTTTCTTTCTTGCTATGCTGACTCCGCACATTCAAATACAACATGGGATTAACAGCATCAGTAACACAACCAAATGTCCACTTGCTTCATGTACCAGATTCAAACCCAGCCCTTGAATACATCACCATGTACCATCAAGTTAAAATGTACAGAACTGTCAAACAAAACAAATAAATTAAATGTTTGTAGATGTCAATTCACTTGTAACATCTGTCATTTTTAAAGGGTTGTGAGGAAATTATATTATGATTAATATTATTCAATTCTGTCCACCATAGAGTATTCTGAAAAGAACACAACTTGTCAGAAACTGGATCTGTTTCCATCTCCAGATGAAACGGTGGTAAATACCTACTCAAGTTTGGTTCATTAGGAGCTAAGTCAACCACAATCAGTCAACTGAAGCTATATAAGGCATTGAGATCAGATTTTGTCAATGTGAGATAAAGGAAACTATAATAAAAATACCCATAAGGATCCAAAATGAAGAGAAAATGAAAAATAAAATCATCAGACCACACCAATAACATAACCCAGAAACAATGAAGCATTGGATAGTATAACTGGCATAAAAGACAACATCCACCTACTGCTAGCAATGCATATGGAAGCAAATGTAACCACCTGAAAACAAAATATAAGCATAAATAATCAGACTGCCCTATACCTTACTAACCATCTTGCTGATATGAGAAACATCCAAGCCGCGCTGGCTGATCAGATTGGGTACATGGGTAGGCTAATTCTTATTCCTGTCATTAATTTTAATCTGCAAAATCCTGCCTTCATTCCAACCTGTACAATTGCCAGCCTTCCTTATAAGCAGGTTAGGTCAGTTTTGATATCTGTAGAAGGCCCTCTCTGAGACTATACCTGTTCTGCCACATTCATATTCACCCAAAAAATGAGGAAATGCCTCTTGGTGCTGTGTTTGTAGCCTGCATAAAAGGCACTTCTATTAGTAACTGCTATAACATCATAACACTCATCTAAATAAACACTATTAAGAGTTTGCTTACGAGGATCAGAACAGAAAGATATCCCCAGCAGAAGGCACAATGCATTTATCACATATACCTGTGAACATGGCAAAAGCCATGTTGGTGAAACTGACTGTTAGCTGCATGGCTCTGGCAGAATAGGTGCGATCTCAGGGAGAATCTACTAGAAAAATAAAAGACATGACCAACATGCACATGATAAAGGTCAATGGATGGTGGGGGTTGTAAAGCTAGGATATTGCAGATTGAAACTAAAAAGTATAAGAAATAACAAAGAATAATCCCAAATGATCAGCCAATAATTCAAACTTTTCCCATAAGTGTTCCTCTTATCAACAAAGAGGTTAGAAAGTTACTATGGGGTTTTGTTGACCCTGGTAAATTATTTATGCTTGTCTGTTATTTTTCAATAGTTCCCATTTTCTTCCACAAAAGGAGCTAACAGTAAGTTGGTAATGCATAATCATGCCAATTTGAGTGGTCAATGATTTGGTGTTTCTAGGTTATGTTCCTGATTTGACTTGACAGGTTTATTTTCCATTTTATGGGCATTTTGTTATGACTTCCAGTTGACAAAATGTGACCTCAGGGACTTATGTAACTTCAACTGACAGAGTATGGTTGACCAGTGACTGAGGTTAACTCTTTCTAAAGAACCAACCAAGTAATTTCTTGCCCACCTCATCACCTGAGGATGGAAACTTTCCATTTTCTGAATCATTGTGTTTTTAAGAATGCCAAATGACTGACAAAGTCCACAAATCCAGTACTAATAATTGTAAAGTGTAAGTATGGTCAGTTTCTGAGAACTATTAATGATGCCAAACTTTGGTGTTTTTGTCATCATACCAAACCCATCTAACCATATTTTGAGAAAAATGTCCCAAATTAACTTTCCAAGGGTTCTTTTCACAGTAAGTCAGTATATCCTCCATATATTTATTGACAATAGACAGATATTATCACAAAAACAAAAGCATATTTCTTTATTTGGAAGATGTTCCAAATGTTGGTTTAGCAGTTACAAGATTTAATACGTCTATTGTAATGAAGTTAGTAAATGCTACGAGTGATTTGTATGCAAGTTATTATATTAACCATGACACAAACTGAGGTTAGCAAGAGCAAATACCTTTATCTTAGTCCGACCCTTACAACAATGTGGAATGTTTTCAGGATCAAAGTTTTATCACAGTTTTTAGGTGAGGGCTAAAGCTGGACTGTGTATAGGGAATATAATAGGCACTCGATCATATTGTAGTAGTAACAGTAGTAATACATACTTATTGCTATATATTTATACATACAGCATATCAAATTACTTCACCCCTTGGTGCCTCCCATGGAATATAATACCTGCTACATATTTACAATTTGGGGTGGACATGGCTGTTGGACTGACCAATAAGACAGGTTTCATTACCAATTCAATTGCTTAGCCAAAGAGAAGCGAAATAATTTTGTAAACAATACCAAAAAAAAACAGAAACCTGCATCACTGGTCTGTCCAAGCACAATTCAGATGGAACAGAACATACATTGTATCTCCTGGCCTACAAGATATTTTAGTGCTTCACAAGCAATGCCTATCAGGCACTGCTATAATAAATACTATGTGGTGAAGTTAATGGGTGTGCAGCCATCCCCACAACATTATGTACACCCTGAGCTCAAAGTGGTAACATCTTTCCAACCTCACCCAATACTAGCGGCACTCCACCATTAACCTCCCCTCATGTAGTACTGACTACTGGCACAGACCCTTGCTAGATACTGTAAGTACCAGGCCTGATATTAATCGTCTTTCCTGGGTTTACGTTTCCGAACATTGGAATTTTCTTCGTCTCCCTTTGCCTCTGTGTCTGAACCACTCTGAGAGGCAGCAATGTCTGATCCTCCTTCATCTATCATATCATCTCTGATTACATCATCATCCTGTGTGAACAGAAAAATGTCTATAATGTATTACATATCTTTATAATGTACTTAAACATTACATTAACATTTATTACTCCAAACTCAACTATACACAGGTTAGATTGTTTTCATTTGTGAAACACTGGAAACATAATGTGCCCTTTCTCAGCACCCCAAAGACCTGTTTTGAACAAAACATTTTTCTTACGAATATCGAAATTTACCGTCTGTTGAGAAAAATTGATGAAAAAGAAATACGTTACGTGATAAGATGGCTTTCACACTACCATTATCCATTGAAAGTAATGTTCTGCACTAATGGATTGTTCACTACAGCCTAACGGTACTGGACCAATAAAATAGTGGACCTTTTCCTTGAGATCAAAACAATCAGATGCTTCCACATATAATTTATTTTTCTCATTCTCTAATTCTAAGAACTCACAAAATAAAACAAAACAGTTACGGAGCCACATTCTACAAACATAATGTAGTTTGTGTAAGACACTTGTAGACTAATGCAGAAAGGTAAGATGGGAGCCCCTATGACTTAATTTTGTAAAAATATTTCAAACTGACCACACACATTATACATGTATATGCAAGCAATAAGAATGTGGCTGCATCTGGCACTGACAAAAAGTGAAATGTACAATAAAAAAGAAGTTCCTCCTATGTGCAAAAACATTAACTATGCCGTTGTGTAATTTCAAGCAGAAAACATGAAAATGTTTATGAAAAATCAATACCAAATTGTATACCACAACACTGGGGTGTACGTATACAGTAAGTGTACGTAACATCCCGCAGTCAATCTGTAGCTCACCAGATCATCGCCACTAAACTGCTTGCTACTGCTCTCCTGTTCTCCCTTCTCCTTTTCAAGGTTCGCTTCAGTTGTGGTTTGAACTTGCATAGGTTTTGGTGGGTAAATTAAATCTATCATACACACCAACACCTGAAACAATAACAAGTGTGTCAATAGCATGTCCTAGCAACAGCACAACACTCCTTTTCAATTCAAGAGAAACTTACAAAACCAAGCAGAGCCCCAATTATAATGGTAACAACTGCAAATATCAAGTATGAGCCCCAAGTCGGTATCCCATAATCTTCCATCAGCTTATTGTGGACAGCCTAAAACAAAAATTAAACACATCAGTTGCAGATCACAGAATTTTTAAATACTGTACTTTTAAGAGAGCCTCGGAATAGGATGGATTGTATGGATTTATTACCCAGGCAACGTTTAAAGGACCTGAGGGGCATGAAACGCATTAGCTGTGGAGGTAGGGAAATACAGTTTAGGCATTGCAGGAACACCAGAGGTTAGGTGGCTAAGTACCAGGCCTGATATTAATCGTCTTTCCTGGGTTTACGTTTCCGAACATTGGAATTTTCTTCGTCTCCCTTTGCCTCTGTGTCTGAACCACTCTGAGAGGCAGCAATGTCTGATCCTCCTTCATCTATCATATCATCTCTGATTACATCATCATCCTGTGTGAACAGAAAAATGTCTATAATGTATTACATATCTTTATAATGTACTTAAACATTACATTAACATTTATTACTCCAAACTCAACTATACACAGGTTAGATTGTTTTCATTTGTGAAACACTGGAAACATAATGTGCCCTTTCTCAGCACCCCAAAGACCTGTTTTGAACAAAACATTTTTCTTACGAATATCGAAATTTACCGTCTGTTGAGAAAAATTGATGAAAAAGAAATACGTTACGTGATAAGATGGCTTTCACACTACCATTATCCATTGAAAGTAATGTTCTGCACTAATGGATTGTTCACTACAGCCTAACGGTACTGGACCAATAAAATAGTGGACCTTTTCCTTGAGATCAAAACAATCAGATGCTTCCACATATAATTTATTTTTCTCATTCTCTAATTCTAAGAACTCACAAAATAAAACAAAACAGTTACGGAGCCACATTCTACAAACATAATGTAGTTTGTGTAAGACACTTGTAGACTAATGCAGAAAGGTAAGATGGGAGCCCCTATGACTTAATTTTGTAAAAATATTTCAAACTGACCACACACATTATACATGTATATGCAAGCAATAAGAATGTGGCTGCATCTGGCACTGACAAAAAGTGAAATGTACAATAAAAAAGAAGTTCCTCCTATGTGCAAAAACATTAACTATGCCGTTGTGTAATTTCAAGCAGAAAACATGAAAATGTTTATGAAAAATCAATACCAAATTGTATACCACAACACTGGGGTGTACGTATACAGTAAGTGTACGTAACATCCCGCAGTCAATCTGTAGCTCACCAGATCATCGCCACTAAACTGCTTGCTACTGCTCTCCTGTTCTCCCTTCTCCTTTTCAAGGTTCGCTTCAGTTGTGGTTTGAACTTGCATAGGTTTTGGTGGGTAAATTAAATCTATCATACACACCAACACCTGAAACAATAACAAGTGTGTCAATAGCATGTCCTAGCAACAGCACAACACTCCTTTTCAATTCAAGAGAAACTTACAAAACCAAGCAGAGCCCCAATTATAATGGTAACAACTGCAAATATCAAGTATGAGCCCCAAGTCGGTATCCCATAATCTTCCATCAGCTTATTGTGGACAGCCTAAAACAAAAATTAAACACATCAGTTGCAGATCACAGAATTTTTAAATACTGTACTTTTAAGAGAGCCTCGGAATAGGATGGATTGTATGGATTTATTACCCAGGCAACGTTTAAAGGACCTGAGGGGCATGAAACGCATTAGCTGTGGAGGTAGGGAAATACAGTTTAGGCATTGCAGGAACACCAGAGGTTAGGTGGCTTGATGATGGAAGACTAACAAAGGGGAACTACATATTACACCATGGAAAAAGGAATTAAGACCACTTCCAGGGAATGGGTTTTTTTAGTGAAAAGAGATCTTCAGTACACAGTTAAAAGAGTAGAATTTGCTAATGATAGACTGTCATACGTGATTATTCGTGGTCAATGGTGTGATATTATTATTTTAAATGTGCGTGCACCAACTGAAGGTAAGGATGATAAGGCAGAATATAGCTTTTATGGAGAATCAGAGTGTGTATCTGATCAGCTTAGTAAATATCACATGAAAATTCTGCTACGAGACTTCAATGCGAATACTGGTCATTGGGATATTTTCAAATTAACTATAAGGAGTAAGAGTTTACATTAATTCAGTAATGGCAACGAGATGAGATCACTGAACTTTGCCACATCCAAAAATCTGAACATCAAAAGCACAACATTCCCACATCTTGATATCTATAAGCACACTTAGACTTCCCCTGATGGGATGACCCACAATGAAACTGATCACGTTCTAATCGATCGGAGGAGACAATCGAACATCATAGATGTGTGATCTTATGGGGGAACGGACTGTGATAATTACCATTATTTAGTGATAGCAAAATTGAGGGCAAGACTCTCAGTCTGAAAACAGGCGGGGCAGATATACAGGATTGAGAAATTTGACATCAAAAGACTGAGCGATGTAGAAACTAAGCAAGAGTATCAGGTAAAAATTTTGAATAGGGAAGCAGACGTCAATAAAGCCTGGGAAAATAAACGGGATAACATGAAAATTTCAGATGAGAAGTGTTGGGTATCATATAATTTCACATAATAAAGCATGGTTTGATGAGGAATGCTCTATCTTGGTAAGACAGAGAAAGCAGGTTAGATTGCAATTGCTGCAGGCCCGTACTCAAATAAAACAGGGAAAGATATGTCAGTGTAAGGCATGAAACCAGCAGAACTTTGAGGAATAAGAAGAGGGAGTATCTCAAAGATTAGATATGGGAGCTGGAAACTAACAGCAAAAATAAAAACATTAGAGTTGTACAGAGGCATAAGTGAATTTAAGAAGGGGTACAAACCCAACACGTCGCCCTCGGTGGACTAGTGGTTAAAGTGCTCACCACTGGACCCAAGATTCACGGGTTCAATCCCGGCCGAGGTCGATGCATTTTTAAGGGTGATAAATCACCCAAGTCTCCTGATTAACTGCTAGATGGCTCTGGCAGTCAACTCAGGATTGAGTAGAAATTGTGCAGAGTCAGTGAGCTGGTCACTCACTACTCATAAATATACACTTCAAGACCAAGAAACCTCCAAAAAGGAGGTGGCAAAAAACCACAACTGGGTTGTAGAGCCAAGAAACAACAACAAACCTAGCACACAAGGACAAAAATGGGGATCTGCTCGCAGACTCACATGGCATCATAGACAGATGGAAAGATTACTTTAGTAAGTTACTAAAAGTTCAAAGAGCTGATCAATTTAAAGAGCATGAATTACATACAGCACAGCCTGTCATCCTGGAACCGAGCCTGAATAAAGTTGAAATTGCCATTGGGAAATTAAAACGTTATAAATCTCCAGGTATTGACTCAATTCCAGCAGAATTAATCCATGCAGGTGGTAGGACACTGCACTCAGAGATTCATAAGCTTATAGTCTCGATTTGTAACCAGGAAGTTCTTCTACAACAGTGGAAACAATCAATTGTTGTCCCTATCCATAAAACAGGTGACAAAACTGAGTGCAGTTACTTCCGAGGTATCTCTCTTGTCAATGTCATATGAAATTTTATCGAATATTCTTCTGGCACAGTTAACGCCTTTAATGAATGAAGCTGTCGTGGACAATCAGTGTGGATTCCGCCGTAATAGGTCAACTATTGATCAGATCTTTTGCACTGGACAAATATTAGAGAAAAAGTGGGGGTACACCAACTATTTGTGGACTTTAGGAAGGCATATGACTCAGAAGAGAGGTGCTGTATGGCATTTTGATTGAGTTTGGAATACCAAAGAAACTTGTTAGGTTAATTAAGATGTGTATGGACGGGCTATCTAGTAGGGTTTGTATAGGTAGCCTTCTGTCGGATCCGTTCCAAGTGCACGATGGCCTAAAACAGGAGGATGCTTTATCCCCAATGCTTTTTAATTTTGCTCTAGAACATGCCATCTGGAAGGTCAGGGGGAATCAGGAAGGGCTCGAATTGAATGGTCTGCACCCAGTACTTGCCTATGTTGATGATGTCAGATTGCTGGGGGATGGTGTGGGTACCATAACCAAGAATGCAGAAACTCTCCTACAGGCTAGCAAGGAAATAGGCCTAGAAGTAAACGTAGACAAACTAAATACATGGACGTAATACGGGCTCAACATCAGCAATAATGGCGGAACATAATTATAAGTAACACATCATTTGAAAATGTTTCAAAATTTAAGTATCTGGGAACAACAATAACAAACAGAAATGAGGTCCATGATGAAATTAAGAGCATAATACAGTTGGGAAATGCCTGTTTTTATTCAATTTAAAAAATTGTTATCATCTTGTTTGCTATCCAAAACAATAAAGCTCTAGATATATAAAACAATAATTTTGCCTGATGTCTTGTATAGTTGTGAAACAGTCTCCTACCTTGAAGGAAGAATGTAGATTAAAAATGTTTGAAAACAGGGAGCTCAGGAACATAGTTCGACCTAGGCAGTATGAAATAAGAGGGAAGTTTAGAATATTGCATAATGAGGACCTGCATGAATTGTACAGGTCACCTAGCATAGTGAGGATAGCAAAATCTGTGAGGCTCCGGTGGGCTGGACATGTAGCACACAATGGGGGGGGAAAGGGGTGCATACAGATTTTTGGGAGGGAGTCCTTCTGGTAAAGGACCACATGACAGACCATGAAGGAGATGGGAGGATAACATCAAGATGGATCTTAGGAAGGTGGGTTATGAGTGAGTTAGTACTTTTAAGAGATGGTTTCTCTTCTCATCTCCCACTGCAGATCCCTGACACCTTCAATTTATGTACCCAACTAATTCTACTGATGTCCAGGGATAGAAATTAGCATCATCTCCTAGACTGAAAATAGTAGGTTTTACTCTCATACCTGATGATGGGGGCATAGCTGGGTTTCAAACTATGTTTTTATAAAAAATGAGACAATGGGAATAGTCCAAAATGTGTCAGTTTGAAAAAACAATCCTCATTACAAACCTTTAGGCACGTACTTCAACACCAGTTGTCAGATGTGCAAAACATGTTAATCATTTGTTCATAAATATATCCCCAACTACATACAGCCAGACTTCATACTGTACTCAAATCCATCCTTCCTTTGGTTATACTTCTTTTGGTACCAGTCACCTTTCATTATTCATGCTTTCTACATGTTCAACACATTTCTGTTCATAATTTATTCTTTACTTTTAATGAATAGACATGGTCTTCAATTTCTACATCCTTTATCAACCATAATAACTGCAGCAAATTCTTTGTTCCTCAGCTTGTTGATATAACAGAAAATAAAATTTAAAACTGAATTCAAGAAATTATGAAAGCTGTGTTATGTACAGCACAGTGTAAAATATATCATACCCGTAAAATCTGCGATAACTTGAAGAAATAGGAAACAACTGACATCTGTAATGATGCAGGATATTTCCAACTGGAAATTGGATCAATAGCTTTCCATTTCTCTTCTTCAATAAAGGAAATAAAAGCATCCTTCTCTCTTGCACCACGATACTGGCGGAACTCTCCATTCAGAACGCTAAGGGAATGAAATAACTGTAAATAAATCTATAGCTCTTACCAATTAAAATGTTTAAATTGTAAATAAACTACAGTTCTAACCAACTGAAGTTTTAGACTTGGCTTATGTTTTACTGTGACACCTGCCACTAGACCCACACTGCCTACTGGTAAAACTATAAGAATTAATATGCCGAGTTCCACTCAAAAACTTCAAATCAGTGACAATTTATATCAACTTTATAACAAACAACTTGAGAACAATTAAAAGATACGAAGTTTGGGAAAATGTCCGTTCTTCTGTTGGTTAATATTTTAATTAGGGTCAGTGAAGAACTTTGTGGTTGTTGGAATATTAAAATTTATGGATCGTCAGTGGGCTGGGCGTGTTGATACAATGTTTGCAGAATTTTGGTGGTGAGATATTTCAGAAAACTTCAAATTTAGAAGACAATGAAGATTTGAACTCAGTCACAGGTTGCGCGGTCTGAGGCGTGGGCCTTGTTTACTCGGACACTGGGACCGTGGGTTCGAATCTCACTCAAGGCATTGATGTTTGTCTGCGTTTTTCTGTGTTGTGCTGTCCTTTGTACAGGTCGAGGCCTTGCGACGGGCTGATCACTCGTTCAAGGAGTCCTACCAAATGTCTAATAAGATTAAATGAATGAATGAGTACCTTGACACCTGCGGGTAGAAGAGGATAAAGACTATATATATGTTTCATACTACAAACACTCACTCAGTACTCTTCTGAGGAGTTCATACTGTAACTGAGTAATGAATGTTTAAAGTGACTTTCACTCAAATCATGAAAAAATAAATAAATAAACGTGTATATTTCAATTTAATTTTTATAGACGCAGTCCAACACTGAAACAAAACGTAATTTCCAATGGACAATTTGAAAGAGTTAACTCTGAAATAAACATTATATAACATATAAATAAAAACAACTATGGTCAAATAAGATAAAACAGTTGAAAGTCATACTGGAATATTGTGGGTAAAGCAGTCACCAAGAACCTCCCACTAAGCCCAGGTGAAGTAGTCACATCAACTTGTCCCACTTTAATGCTGAGGTCATCACTCCATGTTGAAAATTCTTCCCAAACAGGCTGCAAGGCCTTGCATGCAGGGCACCAGGGTGCATAACTGCAAACAAGAAAATGAGACCACCCAGAACAAACTACTTATATGGTTAGACTTGAGGTTCTCACAGCGGTGAGTATGAAGATTTCTGTCTTCTGGGTTATTGCGCTGTGTAGTCTGGTCGATGTTAACCAACGTTTCAGAGGTCATACTGCCTCCGTCATCAGGGCGATGAATATGCCAATAGGGTGTGAGGAGTTGGATTTATAGGCCGGGAAGTGAAAGGTGTAGCCTGCCCCGAGCCAATGGGAGCAGGTATGGGAGTGGACCAATGGTAGCACGTGGGCGAGAGTGGGAGAGGGAGAGAAAGTAGAGAGAGAAAGGTGAGTTTGGTTGTATGGATAAGGGCCCTGAAAAGGGCCGAGTTAGTGGTCTGGTTGGTTCTGGCGGCGCACTCTTGCTCGTTCTCGGAGTCCTCGGAGTGTGTGGATAAGAGGCTTCCAGGACCGGCTCAGGTGAAGTCCATCTTCCCTGTTAAAGTTATCAGGATGAAGTTCGATCTCGATGGCTTCCCTGATTAACCGATCCATGTAGCCGGTTTTTGAGGAGAGGATAGAAGTTGATTATAAGCATTACCTTAAGCATATTCTATAAGAAGAACTAAAACACTCACCAGTAGCATGTCATATTTTGGGTTCTGAAGAATTTAATTGATTTATTTTTTATTTTCTAGTGCTAATAACTGCAGACACTGTAGACAACCACATGGTAGGATGGTGTAAATGATGAATTGGCAAGGGCATGGAAAAAAGCATCTGTGGCATAATTTAAGGAACTATCCCAGTATATAAATGCCTGTAATACTGAGGAAAATCACAAAAACTCAATCAGAAGGGCTAAGATAAAGGAAGGGAAATGAACTCAGGATCTCCATAATACTGAGTAAAATTTCAACCAACTTGACTACAACATTCAGTCTGAAGGATTAGATAACCATCCTGATGATGGAGGCAACAAGCACCTCTGAAACACCAGTCAATTTCTACCAGACTACACAGTACAGTCCTCCAGAAGACAGGGACATCACAGGTTTCAGTACTGTTAAATTGACTAGTAAATATATTTATAAAAGATCATTACACAAATTAAAAATGCTCAGTGTACCACTGACAAAATTAATCATCGATGCTGGGGCAAAAATTATTCATCTTGTACTTTGTTGCATACATAACATACTGAAAAACTATGGGTGGCTGTATAGTAGGTTATTTCACAAAATCTATATCAAGAGTGATGATTATTTAGTCAAATGATCTGAGAAGTTGGCAGCAGTCAGTGAACTTGAAATAACTGAGGGAGGAAAGTTACGGACTGTTTGGAAGTATGATCCCAGTAATAACTGGGAAAGACTGAGGACACACCATAAAACACCTGTCAAGATAATTAGTGCCCACGCAAATTGTGAAACCAGAAACCTCCAGAAAACAAGTTAGAAGCATTGTCATTTGAAACAATTTGTTCAGAAATGAATACTTTATATCTTTCAGGGCTGGTATGTACATCAACATCTACAAATCAACTCAATGACGGATTGAAACTACATGGCAAATAACATGAGAATCCATTATTCTGCTATGCCTTAAACATACATATGTACACAGATTTAGAATAGTTTAGATTCCATTGATTCTTCACAGTACAAGTCAAGGATGTGACACATGTCATTGTACGAACATAAACACAATAAAATACCAAAACAAAATAACTACACACATACTTCATCCACTAGTGTGAATGCCAAGAATACAATTAAACACATCACAATGATATAATGAAAGTACTCTCTACTTTGCATGCATATACATATATACAAATTCATACACGACAACAAACGCCAATTAAGAAACGTAGATTCAGATGTTTATATACTTACAATTCCACCATCCACTCTTGGTTAAGAATTTCTTTCCAGTTACCCTCATTAAGTTGCACTACGTTTGGCTTTCCTACTACAAAGTATAATTCAATTAACAATATAAATAAACTCAGATTTAGTGGCCTTCTCCACATGTTGACCGCCATCTTGCAGTAATAATCTTTGATGTGTTTGACATTGCCAAACATAGCTTTAAAACCAGGTGTCGTTGCTGAGAGCTATAAAATTCCCTTCGTTTCATATGTGAGAAAACATCTTATACAACAGGGGTCGGTAACCTTTTCATTAATTTGGCTGTATTGGCTATTCATATATGCCGAGAGTCACTGAAGAAATTGATGTGACAGTAAGCGAAACTGTTTACCTGGAAATGGATAATAGTTGTATTTCTTCCTACAACTCGGTTTATTGTAAGGACGTTTGTTAGCTTTCAAATAGTTATGATTTCAAGCCCTTATTTTTATATAAATTCAGCTATTAATAACAGTAATTTTCTTGTTTTGTTAAATTCAATATGGTTTGAAGAACGAAACAATGTACATCTGCGCAATAACGTGGCTTTGATGTAAATGGTTTACATCAACATTTTTCTTTTATTAAAGTGTTTTTAATTTTTTGCCGTAACGTTCTAATAATGTAAATATATTTATCAGCCTTCTTCAGTAATACAAAACTTTTTACTTTCTCGCACTGGCTAATTCCCAAAACGCGACGGGCCGCATTTCACACGCGGGTCTCAATAAGTAGCCAAAACCGCCGTGAGCATAGACAATCAAGAGAACCACAAATGATTTTTAAAGCTACATTGGCAATACTGATGTTGGCAATCTGTCACGAAGGGCACGTAATCTATAGGTGTTAGTGACGGACTGTCAAACTAATGTTATATGTATGTGTTCGTTTATGTAATTGACGATATGAAATAAACGCATTTTATAATTCTATGTTTGTGGAGTAATTTTTTCGTACGGTAATATAAACAAAATGGCACATTGGTTTCATAGAAGTGTGTTCAAAGCCACAACACAAGTTAATTTTGAAATTGGGATGGTAGCTTCAGATTCAGATGCAATTAAAATATGCAGGTGAATACACAAATTGTTATTTACATTGTTCAAGGATAAGTGTTTAAGGCAAAAGCTGTAAATATTTATATTTTTCTAAATATTGTTTTTGGAACAAGAGTTTGTGTTGTATGTGTGGATCTTCTTCCATTGTACTCAGATGTGGAATGACAGTATATTGCACAAACCTTCAAACCTGCTATTTTAAATACGTTTTTGTTTCAGTGACTTGAAAGCATGCAGACAGAGATTGCTTGAACTTCTTCCGGATCCAAATTATTCACCAGATGCTGTTGAATCAGTGTTTAACATGTATTTATCCCTGTTGCATGGTCTGTTAATGGTACCTGGTGAGAACACCCCAAGTAAGATGCAACATAGTGTTCTCTTCAGGTGGACTCACTCACTGCTAGGAAGCACACCTCAGTAAGTTACATTTCATGATTTTATGTGTAAGCTTTTGCTACAGCTCAGTTTTATGCTTATATTTCAGGTGATTTTTTATGCTTTGATAAAGGCTTATTATCATTAATTATCCTATCAATTGACCCTATGTTGTCTAAAGTACAGACAGCATCATCACATAACATTAGTTTGAGAAAGATCCTGGAACTTTGTGTAATACATCAGCTACTAGTAAATCCTTAAATATTAATTTATTAGGCAAAGTAAAACAGTGGAATAATCAAAGGGAGGAGACTGAAAATTACCTCTTCCTCACATAAAGTTTTTTTGTTTTATTATGTTAGTTTAGAAAGCAAAGTTTCCTCAAGTTCAGGCATATGGTCAGATATGGCAAAACTTGGGAAAAAACAGCAACTGAAAATTTTAGAAACCGTGAAAACAGGCTTATAGACTGCCATAAGTCAGAGAACGAGATGCTGAATTTTATCTAAATTTACCTATAAAGAAAGAAATTGAACCAAACAGGAACACTATAAAACTGTTTATTGAGACTTTCCTTTCTGGATGTCAATGTTAATTTCTAAGAGGTCACAGATAAAGTAGACCTTTAAATGTTCTGAAGATACCTCCATACAACAACAGTCTTTTTTTTATTGGTATAATATAATATCTGTTTTTCTGAGCCATTCACAGAATGGACCTGGAAATGTTCCAGTATTTGTCACTGAAGGTGGAAAATTAAAATATAATAGCATATAATGTAATACCTTTAATTCAATTTCAGGCTTCAACAGGACTCCATGTATGAAGCTGCTAGCATGAGTTGCAATGTAGCATTTTGGTATATGAAACATGCATCCTTGATTGCTTCAAAGGATGAGTATGTCTTATTTTTATTTAAAGGAATGTTTATCTGTGAGATTCTCATTTTTATCTGCATGAAAATTTGTTCAAATACTTTCTTACATATTTCAGTGTAACAATGGAAGAGGCAAAGGAAGTTCACACAAGTCTCAGAAAAGCAGCTGGTATATTCAAATTGATTGAGTGTGAATTTAGTCCAAAACTAACTGAAAGGCAGATGGAAGCGGGAGATTTGGACCCCAGAGTGATATCTGCGTATCTTACACAGTGCACTGCAGAGGCTCAGGAAGGTAGGAGTCTTTTGCCATCTTGAAGTCGTTGTTCATTTGGCATGTAAATGAAAGTGTAACATATTCACATTTTCTACTGTTCCTTCAGCTGGGATGTATACATACATGTTCAAATACATTGATTTGGTTTTAGGGCATTTTTTACTTGCTACTGTCTCCAAGAGACTAATTTAAGGTTACATACTCTTTCAAGTATGTGCTTATGAAATAAGTCAGTTGTTAATATCAGCCAACTTGCTGTAGCTGTGATAGCACAAGAGAAACATAAAACTGTAACTATGGAAATTCTTAACAATGCTTCTGGAGGGTGACTTTGGAGATGAAAGGTTTGGTGTGGGATATGTCATTTTAGCCTTCAAGGTGAGCTGCATCTAGTGACAGCAAAGCTGCTGAAAGATTTCCTGAAACTCTTCATAAGTTAATGTCTTAAAGTTGTTTTCACTTATAACAAGGGTGCTGAAGCTGTTGCCCTATACCCACAGTGTGACAAGGACCTACTCTACTATAAAGCGAAACCCATTTTCACAGAGATAACATGATAAAACCCTGATAGACAATTTGTAAATCTGGCTTCTGGGAATGACAATAATAAATTTCTAGATTCTTGTTGTCCTTAGGTTTTTTGCAGCTGGAGTTCAGCGTAAACTTTGGTTTTCGGGGATGAGTTATGTTGAATGTTGAAAACATTCAGCACAGTTCATCTTCAAAACCTGAAGTTGTAAACAGTCAGATAATAAACACACTTTATAGTTTTTTTACATTCTTTCACTTTTATGAAAGGAAACAGAAGTGCACATGATTTTTCCCAAACAGTGACAGTGGCAAGAGCTGTGGAGTTGAAGCACAACCCTAGCCTCATCTCAGCATTGGCCAATGAGACCTTCAAACTGTTTAGTGATGCAGCAAGGACTTTAGACTCACTTGGTGATGTGGCTTCTCAGTGGATCAAATATCTGCGCCTGAAGGCTGTTGTGTATCAGGCATATGTATGTTTTGATTACTTCTGTAACAAACATTAAGAAGTAAACATTTCAGTTTTACTTCCAATAAAATAGGTTGGAATTTTTCACAAAACATTCATTTTAATTGTGTACATCTCCATGACCGCCACGGTGGTCTAGTGGTCAGAACACTAGCCTTGTAAGCTTGGGGTCCCGGGTTCAATTCCCGGTGGTGCTCAAATTTATAACTTGTGTTGGGTAAGGCCGTGGTCTAGGCATCACGGAGTTTTCCTCCGGGGGCTTCCCCAGTTTCTCCGTGGCATCCCAACAATTACTCCATTCACACACAGAAGAAGGCAATGGCAAACCACTTCTGATCATCTCTGCCAAGAATGTATATATGTATGAGCAGGTCCCTGACAACCTGAAGAGGTTGGAAGGATCCTGTTCATAATATATGGACCTGTCGTCAGACAGAACACTACAAATAAAATAAACATCTCCATGCAGGTTATAAACATTACTTTTCATTATTCAGAATTAACATGTTATTTCTGTATTGTGCATGAACATAATAGATACTGATACACTTTGCTTGATTATGTTGGTTTGGAAAAGTGTATTGTTACATTTTTGTTTAATATTGCTTACTGTTAACACAGTTTGCTTCTCATTTATTTATTTCCTCTTTCATTTTTTTTCTACATTGATGATGACTGAAATTATTGCAACATATATTTGTTTTATGGTAATATAAACATTTCTACTAGTAGTGTTATTGTTGCAAAGGGGGAGGCACAATATCTGTGGAACTGCAGTCACTAACAGGCCCATTCACCAGCCCCCACATAACACAATCGAATGTGGAGCAACAGGGTAATGATACTGATGGAAAAACTGAAGGACTCAGAGCAAAACCTGTCCTAGTGCCACTTTTCCACCACAAATCTGCAAGTAGTATTTGTGGTATTAAAACTTAGGTATATTTCCCAAAATCCTAAATTCTCTTCCCCAATGGCAAATGATTTTAAATTCTAATATACAGTGGGGACAAAAGATCTGTGGGTCAGCCCAAGAGATAAAGAGATTTTTGTGCATATTTCATCTACCAACTTCTCCTGCTATAAAATAATATTGTATATTTACATGTTTCTTAAGCACAGGATGTTTTTGGGATGCAGAGTGTGAGGAACTCAATGTTTCTCCACTTGCTTAAAAACAGTCATAGTTCTTATGCACAATGCTTCCATTGTACTGAGTTTCTGTGCACTGCAGTTTTCTTTCATAGACAACAGTAAATTATATACGATTATGACCATTCTACATTGGGACCAGTTATCGCCCCTTTACAGCATTTCAAATACACTATAATGCAGCAATAATGTCACAGCATGTATGAATGCAAGCAGTTACAGAAATGAGATTTGCAGTTGTTATGGCTATGAAAATTTGGAAGGTGGTTTTATGAGTTATGGTGTATAGTCTCATAGATTCTTAAGAATGTTTTGGAGGAATCTAGTAACTCCACCTTCAATATAGAAGATGGAGACAATATGTCCCTCTGAAATGCTGCCAGCCATCTTTAAGACTACACACTACTTTTAAACTGTTACTTATTGCTGCATTAGGGAATCTACCAATATGATGTGTGAGAACCATCATCTGTTCATTGGAATTAATGTTTCAGGCATATTGCTTCTGTGGAGAGAACTTGCTAGGTCAGGACCGATGTGGTGAGGCAGTCCGTGCGTTACAAGAAAGCCAGTCATGTGAGTTTGAAGCATTTGAATTCTGCTATAAATAATTTTTAATATAAAATGAGTTTTGTCAACTCTGGTATCATAAACACAAACATAATTGAGTTTAAGGTACGTCTTTCTATCGTCATGCTATATCTCAGGTGGTAAAGTCACTGGATTCTCACCGTGGTGGCCCAGGTAGGAGTTGTGGTGGGCAGAGTAACACTGGGACAGGTGTTTTCTCCTGTCATTATCATTCCACCATTGCTCCATTTTCACTCACGTATTATCTGGGTGATGGACGAAGGCTCTGGCTTGTTAGAGGCCCAGTTTCACAGAAACATACACTCGCCCCGTAACAACAATAACATTGTTTTTGACAGTAGTTTTAGGCACTTATGTCACAGATTATCCTTTGGCCTCTTGTGAAGTTATGCATGAGATAAACATTTCTAACTGAATCTGTTTCTCATAGTTGCGTGACCATCTCTCGTCTATTTCAAGTTTCTCTTTTCTATGTCTATCCTCAGTTCATTAGTCCATTATGCTTTCAGCTTACACAAGTCCCTTTAATTAGGTTTCAATCTTATCATTATTTTAGGGAGTCTGTCTTTCTTCATTTGCTTTACTTGCCCAGATCATTTAAATCAGTTTTCTATTAATTCTCTTCTAATATATCAATTTTTACTCTGCTCCTCACTTCATCATTTGTATGTCTTATTTGTTCTGGTTTTTCTTATTGTCAGAAACCCTTATAGACAGGAATGTGTTTACAGGGGTGGATTGTTTTTACTGCTATTTTATAGAATAAATGTACCCCAGTGTGGGATATCAAGGGAAAATCTGCCTTTATACAAGTAACATTCCCAGAAGTAAGAGTTCTAAGGTGACACAGTCTGCTGTTAATGCTATATGCGCGATAGGAAAGAATATCATTTTAGGCAAGGGTTTTGTATACTGATTTTTTTAATAAAATGGTTTGTGGCTGTATAGAGGTTTGGAAACATTGGCTTTAGCAGGTATTAGAATAAAATTCTGCTGCTTATGGAGATCTGTTATACATCCAGGCTACAACAGGTCAATTGAACTGTGTAAAGAGTATGCCAAAACGAAGGGACCAGCACCAAAAATACATCCAGAAAATCATAGTTTCTTCAAAAGACTGGCTCCTAAAATACGGATGATACTGGAGAAATGTGAACGAGAGAATGGATTTATGTGAGTAACTTTTGACTTCAGTGCCTTGTGAGTGTGGTTGAGTGAAATAAGGTTTGCAAGTCTTTTAGGATTGTTACAGATATCACCAGAAGGTTCCAGATGACCCTCCTGAACTAGAACTGAAGGCAACATATGGACTTGTTAGCCCAAATGAAGTGCCTTTGCCCAATCCAAGTCCACTGTGGACTCCAGTGTCCTATTCTGCCTTTGATACTCCAAAATCCAGGGCTAAGGATCCAGCAAATTCAGTATGTACTAAAGTTTCAGTCAATTTATTCTTTCTTATTTTGGTCTGGAAACTCATAAGGAATAGACTGCCTGAAAGATCTAGGCATAGATGGTAAGATGAAGATATCCGTCTTCTGGGTTATTGCGCTGTGTAGTCTGGTCGATGTTAACCAACGTTTCAGAGGTCATACTGCCTCTGTCATCAGGGCGATGAGTATGAAGATTTCTGTCTTCTGGGTTGTTGCGCTGTGTAGTCTGGTCGATGTTAACCAACGTTTCAGAGGTCATACTGCCTC